TTTGCTAGTAAAAATATATGATACAAAATTATTTGGAAAACTTTAAAAAAAGATTTTTATCTGATCATTTTAAAGTAGAAATGTATATAGTTTTTTGATTAATCTTTTGGCTTTTAAGATACTATTTTTTTCTTAAAGTGTTTATGATGATACATTAAATAGGAATAATCGTCAATTATTTTATTAAATACTTAAGAATTTATGATGTTTAGTAAATCAAAGCATTTTTTTTTTTTTAAAGGATTGAATTTGTATATGTTATTTAAGAACGAGCAATAACATGACACATTAACGCGATCTCGATATCTAAATACAAAATTGTTTTTTCTTCAAACGTTTTCAAACAGGCTTGTTTGTTTTACTCTGTTTCTAGAACACTATTTCTAGATTAAACAGTGATCATTAATCATATTAAGTTTTATCATAGAAATAAAGATAATTTTATAAACAACAAAGTAATTCCATAACTAATGAGGTAGGGTTGGAAAAAAATAAAATTATACAATGCTAGTATTAGTTATAAAAACTATTTTTAATATATACTATATTGACATATAGTGATTCACTAAACATACTTTTTTACAAGTTTTACTTCTTCAATAACACGGTTATACAAAATCTAATTTTAAATTTTTAAACTAATAAAAACCCATAATCATTAAAGTGAAAACAAATTCTAATTTGAAAAACAAAAAATTGATATCACCGTAAAACAAAAACATCAAAAAATTTTAAACATAAACTTTATGTAGAATTAAAAATTTAAAAATTCTGAATCTGAATATATTCATTAATTAAAAAAAAAAAATTGGTGTACTCAGTGAATCACCTGTATACTATATTATTTGTGTAAACACATATTAATTGCACAAGGTCTATTAAAAATCTTATGCAATGTGCATAATTCAATCTATTCTAAATAAATTTAACCATGGTTCTACAGACAAAAAAATCAAATAGCTTTTGCCTTTTAGTTTCTAATGTTTCTGTAATTTAAAAGTTTTTAAAACGCTCATTTTCATTATCATAATTTTTGTTATCAAATAAACATGGGGTCTGCAACACATTGTGATATTATCACGATGTGCAGATATCTCTTAGACAGTACTCGAGTTTAATATTTTATCAACATTTTGTCGAATCGTGTTTAGTCGTTCCCGGCGTTATATCACAGAATATTCTGTGGTTATATCGAACTCATTATCGTTTTTTATTACTCTGTTTTTGTTATTTAATATTTTTCTAATTCTCTCAATCATGCAAAATTTGTGCAAAGTTGAATTACTGTTCGGCAAACTGCTGTGCAAGACTAAGGCCATAAACCAACAACCAGTTAGGTACACTAGAAAACCTAGATGGTTACCGAAAGCGCCGTCTAAAATGTTCCGGGTACCTGTTCGACCACAGGTTTCCACCGAAGAGAGGAATGAACTGTTCCAACTGTTCACCAACTACCGGACTACCATGAAATCGATACAGTGAGTGTGTTCAGAGTAATTCGTTCTACGTGCACAGGAACTCATCTCAGTGATCTGTTTTAGGAAACAACTAGAAAATGAACTCGAGACGTCGTATACAGGTCAAGAGGTGTTGCAAGAAATTGCCAACAAGGAAGAACACTTGTGGGCAAAATGTATGGACATCAATGACAACTGGAATGCTGAAGTAGCTATGGAGAGGGAACAGAGGTTAGCAAATGAACGTGAGGCCCGACGAGAAGAAATTTTAGCACAACTCATAGAAAAAGAAGAAGAGAAAAAGAAAAAACTGGAAGCAATTGAGGAAATTATCAGATTAGAAAAGGTATGTACTTGCAAATAATTCAATAATTATAAGATGATTGTTATGTTTAAATGTATTTACTTTGCGTTAAGGAAAAATCAAAAACTTATATTACCATTGACAACATAGATGAAGCTATTGAAAAAGCATTAGATCATGTAGTTGATCACAAATATGCTTTAGATTTAGATGGTAATATTATCAAAGGTAATAATCCACATGAACCGACTACAGAAACGAGCACTCCTCAACTGCGAGTCCAGACAATCAACTAATATATGTGTATTCTGTTAATTTTTTAATTCACATAAACATGTACAAATATAATATTATATATTTTTTTCTAATTAGAATATGTCATTTAGTTGTCTAGTTGTTATTAAAATTGTTTTATAAAGTAATTTGAACAATAACATATTTGGTCATAATTTTGTGTATTTTCATCAACTATTTGATATTTTGTTTATGTATAGTTTTCCTGAGAATGTATTATAATTAATATTTTTATTTTAAAGTATTTATATAGAGGGGAAAAGGCCATATATTAGATTTAAACTTTGTGCTAAATATTCTGTTTTAGAAGAGTTTTCAATGTTTTCATTATTCTATAATTTTAAAGTAATAGTAAAATATTAAATACTTTTCAATTTAAACGATCAATTGAAGTGCTTAAAAAGCTTAAAGACACATCTAACTTGTTATATAATTAAATAAATTATGATTTTGTAACGGCAGTAGCAAAACTGAACATAATGTACAAATCCCAACAGAACATTTAATTGCAGTTCAGATATTTTAAAACTGACATTAAATTATATCAATTTTGTTATGCTAATGTTTAGTTATAAAGAACACATACAGAATTACAAAACTTATAGAACACAGTTCCTAGATGATTTACAAATAATTATTTAATGTACGTATTGTATGTTATAAAAGTAATTCTACTCGTACCTATCTATGTGCTCGGTTGTTAATACCACAACATAAGTCATAAATAGTAGGTAGGTAATCAGAAATGCCAGATGCAAATGAATATTAATAATAATTGTACCTATTCTCCAAATGTACCATTTTTGATTTTACTTAAGTTATAGGTATAGTAATCTGTATTATGAATACGTTATATTCAAGTATGTTGTTTTTGTTTTATTAGCGTACAACATGGCAAATAAACGTTCAGAAAAATCTATTTTACCTACTCTGTTATTTTTCTATAATTACTGTATGGTCATTTTTAATTACTCCGAGCATTGATTTATTATTAAGTTAAACTTAAAAGGTAAAAATATTATTTAGTATCTAGGGCGACTAGTGGCTTGTACTCGTTGATTTATTTTTATATTTTAATTTTGAAGCAATTTATGAACATTTAAAAGTTATAAAATCAATACATTGAGATATTGGTTATTTGTCTATGATTAATTTTAACATAAATTTGTTATTACTTATTAATGGTCGAATTGGTGAATGCTTATAATTATATAGTGGTGCCTATTCTTTAGTTCAACTGTGACAAATATCATAGGCAACTTAAGTAGGTGGATAGGTGTAAACACTTAGGACTAGAAATTGGTAAAAACCATTTTTTAAACTACCACATATCAAGAGAGATTAGACAATTTGCTTATAATTAGTGGTTAAAAGGGAGTTAATGAACCTCTGGTGGGTTGAAGTTAGTGGTAGGTATACTACTATTTAGAAGTTCCCAAAGCGAAACAGACTATATAGGAGGTTGTCGGTTGATTAAAAAACAATATTGTAATAGGTACCATAATAAAATAGTAAATTGTTAGATCTTCGTTAACGTGAATTATTATACTTAACGGCTGTGTATACTTGATGTATTTTTTAATGGATGGATAAAAAAAATAATGACCATAGAATATTCAAAACCGGTGAAACCCAAAAGCGCGAATCGTCTATTTTTGTCGATAGACTAAAAGCGCAAATTAATTTTGGGCTACTGTACCTTAGTAGTGGGATAAGTGCGCAAAAATGAATATTGTACTCGTTACACTATACGTTTCATTTTAATTAATTATTTAGTATTTTTATAATTCAATAATACATCAACAGTGATTGAATTCAGTTGAAGTTTAGTATTATATAGTATCGAATTTTATCGTAACAAATTACGGTGAAGGTTAATAATCATTTAGGATGGCTATACAATATATGCAGTATAAGTATAGACTTATACATAACTTATAAAATACACTTTATAGTTGTAAAATTTATTTGCGCTTTTAAGTTGCGTTTGGGTCATATTTTGTGCATATAAAGTTACAGCCAAAAATTTCTACTGGGAAAATAAAAAAAGTCGGCTCACTAAGGAAAACCCATAAAAACAACCTTAAAAAACTTATATTTTCATATAAAACGATAGAATATAATTTTGAGAATTTGAACACTTAAAATTATTATTAAAAATTAAAAATTGGTTAACACAAAGAAATGTTATAATTTTTATTTAAAATACATATGTTTAGTCTCCAGAATACACGTTAATACGTACTAAGCAATTTGTTAAGGTTTGAGTTATTTTGCGAAATTGTGTCGATTATGCCTTAATCGATAGACCTAAAAATAAAAAAACATCCCTACGAGTATAAGCAGCTCACCGGAAAACTCCAGATATCCCGCCTGCCCAGTCCGGTCTTAAATGGACCTATTCAATTTTTGAGGCCAATTATAAGCCATAGTCGGCATAGTCTACGTCTACATCATAGATATAAAAAAACAACTGTGGTTCAAATAATTAACGATTAAAAACGAATTCGAGCGGGAACGATCTGTCAACCTATAAATATTTATAAATATTAAATAGGTATTTATACGTACAATATTAGATCTGATATTTATTTTATATTTACTTTACATTATAATAAATTCATTTTTTTATTGGTAATGAAGTATTTCAGTAGATTAAATTCATTTTGTCAAGAAAATTGTTCATTATATAATAATACATTTTTTTAATATTATTTCACTATTTTCATTCTTCAAGGTATAGATCTACTATCTAGATAGATATATTATTATCTATTTATAATTTATTTTTTAGCTTTTAAAAAATCAATATCGACGCACCGTTCAGTGCAGCCACTTTGACACTGCATTATCGTCATGATTGTCCCATGATTATCGTCAGACATGTGATATATTGATATCAGTACGGCGTTCAGTGCAGCAATTATAATTGCAAATTTTTAAAACTTTTTTATCATTTTTATCTTTGGGCTTCGGCTGATATTATTGTAGGTGTAGGTCGTGGGTGCTGAGTAGCACACAACATCTATATCTATTACTCGAAAATTTTGATCTCCGGATCCAACCGCTCGTGCCGATCTATTATTATTTTCTCGACGGCACGATCACACGAACGTGAAAATGAGTAAGGTGTACAAGGAAGACGAAATCAGCGTCCGAGTGGATCGGTGCCTGTATGATTCGATGATTAAATTCGGTAAGTAAAAAAATGATAAAGCGACCTCTGAGAATCTAAAAAAAAAAAAATGTTTTTTTTTTTTTTTGTTTTGACCATTACAACACCATAGCCTTTATATTGTACTCCCTATTATTGTAGCAATGTTTGTAATGTTTGTATGATATATTTACATTAATTCAGACAACTTTGCTTAAAGAACAAATTATGTAATTTATTAAATCTAGGGACAGCTAGGTTAGGTTTTAACGGAATAAATTTTTAGAAATACGGGCTTGAGGGAGGGACATGGTCCCTTGTCTCCTGATTTAATGTACATGTACACATTTATAGTTGTCAAAACTTAATACTTTAATACTCAAGAGATTTAAACACAAATTTCAATTTTGACTATACATTTTTATTCGACCTTACTTTATAATTCTTCATAATTATTGGTTGTTCATCAATCCCCATTTTATACTTTTATAGTTGGAGCATTATATTTATTTATTGATGTAGATACAACATGCTGATTAATTCCTTTTTTCAATTTTAAGTTTTGTGGTAAGTTATTACTTATTATATTCTACTCAGTCTGTCCTATTCATTATTCACTAATAAATTATTACTTTGTTAGGTGTTTTAAATTTTTATATAAATACCTGCAGTTAAACTCTGAAGGAAACTAGTCTTAAATTCCTGAATAGAAATTGTTAATTAAGTACAGTTAATGTCAAACAATTTATAAAACTGATAGCATTTGACTTTAATGGTTTTTAATTATTCTAGGTGGCGGCTTGAGTGTAGGTGTTGTTGCATCCCTGTTGTTTTTCAAACGTAAGTTTAGTATGCAACATTTTTAATAAAATAATTTTTATAAATTTACATAATACAATATTGAATAATTTTTAAAACATAAAGAAATGTAATTTGTTTTATTCATAATTGTAAATTATATTATTATAAATAATTATTTACAAAATCTTAAGAAAAAACAATTATTTTTAACACAATTTAATTTTCAAAAATTATTGATTGTTTTATCTAGGTAAGAAGTGGCCAATGATCATGGGCTCTGGTTTTGGATTGGGTTTAGCATATGAGAACTGTGAAAAAGACTTAAAAGAATATTTTACGAGTACATAATACATTATATTATATTAGAGCTTAGGCAATATCATATTAGCCTTACTCTAGAGTCAAACAATGTATTGTTCATACAATTAATTTTCTTTTATGTTAATTATAATAATGTAAGTAGTATTTCTTGTTTCAAGTTTTTAACTAAGAAAATATAATATTAATAATGTTGGATCCAAAAGTTTGCATTTATTGTAAACGTAAAAATTGAAAGTGTTATACATTAATATAAAAGTTCTAAATAAATTAAAAATATCAATACTTAAGCAAACTTGAAAGCAAAATATCAAACAGGTAACAAATTGTGAATTGACTTCAAATGTGATTTTAAATGATTGATATTATTGGTATTGTAATCACATTTATTACATTGGAGCGGTTGATGCAAACATTTCTTGTTAGGTGGCAATACTACGTGTCCCATAGTTTGTAATTCAGAAATTATCTCTAAAAGCAAATTAAAAATTAATTCAACAAAAATGTTATCATATACTAGAACATTAATAGCTGAATAGTAACTAAAATATACCAAATAACTAACATGATATAATAATTTACAAAGACAGAATACATAAACAATATATTAATAGATTATAACTATATATTATACACATATTAATATGAATACCAAAAGTTGAAATATATTTGCTAGTTATAAATAAGTATTATATATACTATAGGGCAATGAACAGTAAGGATATTTTTTTATGGATATATTAAAATATTGAGTTTAGAACACTATTAATAGTAAATATTAAAATAGGCCATTTAGTCTTGGAGAATTATTAGCCATAGGATGTTTGAAGTTTGTATTTTTATTTTAAAAATCAATCCAATAAAAAAAAAAAATTATAAATTTATTTTTAATTTTAATAAAAAGACTAAGATATAAATACAACTTATACTTAATATATATATCAACTCATTGAAGTTTTTTAGATAATATGAAATGTATTCATCATTATTATATTTAAATTTTTATCTGTATAATTGTATTTTGTTTTTGTGAGAAATGTCTAATTCAAACATTTTTAATCAAATAATACCTATTAAATTTATTTCCTAACTTATTATTATTTCTTACTGAAGAAATTGATAAAAAATAAAATCAGGAGACCTGATGTCTTTATCTAATAAACCCCAAGGACAAATATCTTTTTTAAATTTTTATAAACTCAATTTTTTTTTTAAATTTATATTTCTTAATCTAGTATTTAATGAAAATTAAATGCACACCTGGTAATTGCAGAACTAAATTAAATTATTTACATGGATAATTCAATTTTTTTTTTCATAGCACTTGATTGAAAGTAAAAACATTTTGTAACAATATGAGTTACATTGGTAATAGTCCAATATGTGACCTACCGATAGGATTGTGTTGATTTACATTATACTTCTATAGGTTTCTTTATTGCAGTAATTTGTTATTGTCGTTATGAGAATTTTATTCTATTATATTTTTGTTTTCTCTAATACATACAATCATAAATACTTTCCTTCAGTGTCTTCACTCATACTTACCAACAGATTTTTAAAAATAATGACTTACATATACGGATCTTAATGGCCGTTTTAATAGTCAACAATCATATTGTATGTGAAATAATAAAAGTAGTTTAGTTCTAAGTTAATTTAGTTCCAGTAAATCAAAATGTAAGTTGGACTGGTAGAAGCAAAAACACTATTATTGATTGGTATAATCTTTGCAGAAATAAATAAGTATATTGTTTTTCAAAAAGAGAAAAAATGGATGGTCATGATTGTGTACTGTTCAAATTTACAAACTCATTTTTCAAGCTAAAAGGAAGTATACTGTAAAACCGTTGTCAATTACAATATGGGGAAATTTATTTATATTTTACATTTATGATTTAGGTTACGTATGAGATCGTAAGTTAGTATGTAGGTCGCATATTGGACGGTAAATCAGTGTATAAGTCACATATTGAATCGTTACTGTAACACTAATTGTACACTGTTAAGCATTGATTATAAACTATATGAACATTAAATATTATATATATATTTGAGAACAGGACTAAACATTAAACTGTTAATATTTACTGTGAGTAGGTATGAAAAATTCTGTATTAAATGAATTCCATTGATGATTCTGTTTCATAAATTTACCACAAAAGTCTTTACTTAACACATGCAAGTGCAATCGGTTCATAGATGTAAAAGTGTGGTATCCAACTCTGTAACATTTTAAACAAAACCAATATTATTATAGATGAGCCAAAGAATGACTGAAATTCAATTTAAGAAGTCAAAAAAAAATTTTAAATGTATTGTGATAATGACACAACGTGTTGTATGCCATTTAAAAATTTCCCTCTAAAAAAGATTAACACATAAACATAAACACATTTAATAAAATGTTTAACTATAGTATTATAAACATTAAAAATAATACTTTATTATTATGATAATCTGACTTCTATGAGTAAATTAGATTTAGTTACTACTATCTGTACAAAATTATTAAAAATACATCAGCACAATTTTATTTATAATTTTTATTTTTAATTTTTACAGTAAAGGTATGAAACTTTAATAAAAAATTTCTAATAAAACATTAGTTGTTTATACTGGAACCAAAAAACTTAAAATATATCTAAACACAATTATATTTTATGTTTATACTTTTATTAGGTTTCTTAATTCTATTATTCTAGCCAAAAAAAAAATTTTACATCACTTACAATTATTGTACTGAATGTAATAGATTGTGAAAATAAACGTTTGAAATTAAAAAAAAAATGTCTGTGCTTTAAATTTAGATGGAAAAGAGGTACCTATAGTTATAAAGTTATTACTTATTTATTTTAGTTATCTACTTATTTATTTTATAAGTAAGTATATAGTAACTATTTACTTCAATTAACAATTATATAGATTAAAATAAAATTTATTTTGAAAGTTTCAATTGGTAATTTATTTGCATAACTAGTTTAAGAGAAACTAATAAAAATTTAAATAAAAATAATATATCATTACAAATAATGATTCGTATGTTGATTATAAATAAATAATACTAATAGATATGTACCAAATCAAGGTTCTTACCAAAAATATTATTTATAAACACATGCAATTAGTAAATACAATTATACTTATTTATGTAGTTGAGTTTGTATTGTAAATTTATAAAAAAAATAGAATTATAGTACGTAGAAACCTACTGTTAAATGTTTTTTTATAATTGAAGTGAATCAGAATTTTTTTTAATGATAACTTTTAAAAAAAGTGAAAGAACCCAGAAATAAAGGTATAATATAATTTTAAACGAAAAGGTAAGTAGCCTACTCAAGACTAAATACATTTACTATATTCATATCATATTTCAATGTTAACTAGAAGGTGACATGAAATGAATCAGTTGTAAGTACATTATTAGTTAGTTATATTACAGTAAAATCATTATGTTTAAATCATAATAATTGCCTGAATTTTGACACCATCATTAAATAATAAAAAATCTAATTAATTTCTTATTAATATAAGTCTATAATTAGCTCTAATGTACAAAATAAATGAAAATATCTAATTGACCATTGTTTTCCAATGACTATGAAATAAAATTTTACCAAGTTATTGAATTTAATATCACCTGAATAAGCACTCTTACAGTATGTCTTGTGCCATTAGTCCAGTCTTGTACATCACATACTCCAGACCTTTGAATTCCATGTAGATGAGCTTAGGTATGTGATTCTTTTTGAGCGATCGAACGTCCAGCAAATCTTCCTTGGGCATAACTAAATAGTGATGTTTAGACTTTGGGAACTGGTCAGCAACGATCACCACAAAATCATCAGAATAGAGTACTTTAGACGGATCGTTCATGGCCAGGATCAGATTGTTCCGTGCTTCATCGGCCATGACAGTAAAAATGTGTTAAAAACGAAGTGCACAAATTATGGATGTTCGCAGTAGACGTAAACGATGCCCTTCGTTGAGGCACGTGGTGGATGACAACAACGCGGATTTAACGACCGACGTACCTATCGATTTGCTTCAGAGATTTATTAGTTATTGACAGTTTGTTGAACTTTTTTTGTTATAATTCGTGGGCCATTGTTAACTTAAACTTAACCGCCACAGTCTATCCATACCTCCCTAAATGCAATATATAGGAAAAAGGTTAACAATGTCATATTAGTAAGGTAGTAGGTACTAATAGGTACTATGAAGTCAGAAGTATGTAGTATGTACTATCTGCCATGTGCCCATGTGTTTGTACATCGGTTTGATTAACATCTAACGGTGGCTGAATGTACTGAGTATAGGCGGCCAAAACGTGTGACAGTTACCACGAACACGGTAATAATAACGTTATCATTAAACGAGTTCGACTAGTGATAACGTATTTAATTCTGCGTAGATTGTGTAAACTGTAAAGGGGACTACTGTCTACTGTAGCAAATAGCAATTATAGTCTATAGGTAATAGTCTAAAGCAAGTCACGAGACTTCCGTTGTTGTTGTTGTCTGCTCTCTTTTCGACGTTTGGGTCTGTGGACGCGTTATTACTGATCATATTTCCGATACGATCGATCACAGTCGCCTTTCGACTTACCGAATAGGCACTGTAAAAATATTTTCCAAGTTTAATCGCTTCCACTGCGGCCCACAATCTCGTGCCACCAAACTTGACTACGCTTTGCATCTATTCTGCGCTGTAGCGCATTTCACTGGAAGATGCCGTATGGCCGTCTGGTGATTTAGCCTCAGCTCAAACGTATACCCACGCCTACCCACCTCTTTTGGTGTGAAGCAGTAGGAGGGACTGTACCATAGGCACCTTTTGAGGAAGACTACGAAAGCGGAGCTAATTACACCATGGCCGACAAGTGAGTAACCAGTCATATTAGTGGTCTTAGTAGATATGCTTACGCTTCTATTGTGCATTATCGACAAACAATGATAAAATAACTTAAGTTAAAATGTTGTACAGAATTATCGATATAAAAAACAAAGTGTATCAATTTTTATAAGATATGTTGGTCATGTGCACTGCAAGTCTTTCCAACTATGCTACATTATAATAGAAAATAAATATGAAAGTAAATTTGAAAATGTATTGAAAGAATGCCATCCTTACGGGATAAAGTCTAATATGTTATGATATTTATTTATGTAAAAAACTTTGTAAACATTACCTTAAAACTTTAGTTTAATAACAAGTAAATTTAATTTAAACTCATTTTTTAGTCTAAAATGTTCAACCCTATTTTGTTTTATTCAGTAAACATTGTTGAAATTTAGAATTCTCTATTATGTGTTTTGAAATTATTATTATTATTAATTATTTAATATAAGTTTTCAATGAAAACCTACTTTTATTTAATTGCTTATATTTTGTATTATATTCTATTATACAGAAACATAGTTTTAACTATTTTTTCTATTATTCATTATAGGCAACCTGATGATGTTGAAAATGTCAATGAAGAAGCTGTGGTATGTTCAGAATCAAAGGTAAATGAGGGTGGTGGATGGTGGGATTCATTGTACTCTGCAGCCAAGTCTAAAGTAAATTTTTATATTTTTCTCACTTTTTAATGATTCTGTTTATAAGTAAATATATTTTTATTTTATAAAATAATTATCCGTTATAGTCTGCTGAAGTTTTGGAATCGGTTAAACGTGATCTCGGTGAACTAACAACAATAGTCACCACTGAAACCAGCAATATTGTTTTAAACACTACCAATGTTGTTAAAGATACATTACAAGTATGTATATTTATTACATGTATAATGATTTTAAACTTAAAGTATTTTTTATATGCTTATAAACTTATGTTTTAGTTGGAAAATCCAGAATCTACTGCCAACACTATGAAAAAATCTGTAAGTTCGTTTCTGGACCAAATGTCGAGTGCATTAAACCCTTTGCCTGATGACGAAGATGAAGCAATAATGATTGTGGGTTCAGACACAGTTACTTTGTCTAGGCTACAAGTAATTATTATAATTTGTGAATATTTCAATTTTATGTTATCTATATATAACATCCTATTTTCCAGACACAAATATATACCTTGGCCAATGATCCTAATACATTTGTAATGGAAATTGATGACCAACTTGATAAAAGATATAAAGCTTGGTTGGATTGGGTTAAAAGTGGTGATAGTAGTTTGTTATCTAATGATAAACTCAACAAGATTTTAAATGAGTGCACTCCATTACGTGAAAACTATCAGAAACTTGTACCAGATTCTGTTTCTCATGCTGACTTTTGGTATCGATTTTTGTTTCGAAAAGCACTATTAGAAGATGAAGATGCCAAACAGCAGAGACGATTAGAAAAGGAAAATCAAGAAGTTGAAAAAATAGATTTCAATAAAGGTAAGTTATTCATTTACATGTTATATCTCATGGAGAAGATGTTTACAATTATTGTAAATTTAAATTTACAGAGTTAACTCCGTTGTCTGATATAGAACTGTCTGAAAAAGAACAAGAAGAGATATTGACATCATATGATCAGGAACGAAGAGAATCATCAAAGTCCAACAGTCCTACAGAAGGTAGTATTAATAAATTATTTGTAATGATATTTGCAACAATATAGTAATTTAATTTTTTTATTGAATGCTGCAGACTTTAAGAAGGATTCAAAATCAAAACAGGAAGATATTCCATCAAATGCTTCTTCAGTTACCACTTCAAGTTTAGACAAAGGTAATTGTTGAATATAAAAGTGTTACTAAAGTTTTTAGGTAGACAAGTATAAAAATTTTTTTTTACTTTTCTTATAAAATACTAAACAGGGCTCTTAGGTTCAAAGAGTTTTTTTTAGTAACATTAAGTTAATTTTTTGGTGTTTTGTTTTTTGTTCAGACGAATGGGTCAAGGATTTTGATATAGAAGACATTGAACCGCCCACTACTACCAAGTGAATTGAATTTCCACCAATTAAACTCAAATAATGTTTAGTTTTTTTTACGCTGGTCTTTGTTGATTAGTGAGATATACATCTCGATAATAATATAAAAACATTATTTTTTTTCTACATATATTTCTATTTATAAATATTATTATATTTTTAAGTTATTTTTATTGTTAAACACATTTTTGTTTTGTGTCAAAAATAAATAAGAACACTATCAATGTTATATAATATATTACCTATTAACATGATTTTTTTTGACCTTGTAGATACACAATGATCATGGAAAAAGATACTGTGATTTATGAATTAATAACTAGTAGAATATGAAAAAATAATACCATAATATATTTTATTTATAAAATAAATATTATTTTTAGAAAGGAGGAATAATGTGAACAACATAACATATTGTTTTTAGAAAAATTTAACAAAATTAAAATGTTATTATTTATGGAATAGATCTATTGTTTATGTTATGCTTTTAAAGTGTATAATTCCAATCTGACTAGTTAGATTTATTTAGCTAATGATGAGATGTAGATAGTCTCAAAGTTCTCAAACTATTAAACAGCAGTATTTTTCAGATAGTATAAATTAAAATTTGATGTGCAAACTACTAAATTGGAGCCAAATTATTTTTATTTTTAAAAATAAATAACATTATTTGGTGTACAAAATTGCAATGATATACAGTTTTTATTACTTTCCAAGTATAATTTATTTTTTATAATTTTATTAAATTATAAATTTGATTTATTATGGATATGAAAATTTTTAGTTTGATAGTTTTAAAATTTATTTAATTTTTTTTTTTAAATAATTAATTATTTATACAAATATTTATGTTTAAATAGTAAGCCATTGTAACACATATACAGTTTTTTTATCTATAGGATATAGATTTTGCAAATAAGTTTCCTAAAATTTCATACTACTACATTCTATTAGTTATTACTTATTAATCTGTCATACCTACTGTCTTACATACAAAACCGAAGACTATGGAATTAATAATTAATTGTATTCTTTGAATTTTGAACCATTATCTGTCATTGTTTAAAATCAAAATAGTTTATTTATTAACTTAATTTATTTTAGCTACCTATGACTAAATATGATGTCATTGACGAGTTATAAAATCCACATCATGATTCATGAAACAATAGATTGCATTCTGCACACAAATGCCCCTAAATTATCTACTCAAAGCGCCATCTAATTATTTTTTTGAAAAGAGGTTCGGTAAAAGTTATCTTGTGTTATAGGTATATGGTTTACCGGTTAGTACACGAGTAAACATTACAATAATTTCAAAGCGATAGAAATAATGTCAAAATGAAGACCTATAATAAATTAGAGATAAATCGTAATCCAGAATTTATGATATTACGTTGCTCCGAATGTTTGAATAAAATATAAGAACCTTAACAGTTATTTTGATTTATTTTAAGGTATTGCTTTCTATTTACACAACGAATCTATTCACACTGTACTATAGACTATGGTACGACTTAATAGATTTAAAATTAATAAAAATAAAAATTTTAAATTTTGACCCTCTGTTTAAAAGATTTTTCATATCACAGGCTAATAATGACTGTAGAATAGAGCGAATTTTTTAGTACGCATTTAACAGTCGATTTAATCGGAAAATTAATGAAAAGTTGTATACGGTGAATTTTTTGATAAGTGTTTATTCATCACGTATAGTTCAAAGCAATCAAGTTTAATATTAAAAGTTAAATTTAATATGGTGTTTTGATATATTAATTTTGTTTTTAAATATGCCACCAATTAGTCGTACAAACTCATGTCGTAGAACTCGCCATACTATAGCAAGTATACCTAACCTACCCCGACTTGAGGTGAAAAAATTTATGAATAACATCATCGAAGCCACGATTTTGAAAGGGAAGTACAAAGGCAAAGACGTTTTCATTCCACAGATTCCTTTGATTTCGAACGACATGCCATTTGACTTTAAACGGTTACAATTTCCAATACAGTTAGCATTTGCAATGTTAATAATTAAATCATAAGGGAAGTCACTGGGTTTTTGTGGCATTAATTTTGAAAATCCACGTTTTTCACATGGACAGTTGTAAGTCGCCTGTTCCTGTATCAAAATAGGTAAGTACTAACACTACTAACAAAACTATTCATATATGCGCAAGAAAATAAAATTAAGAATGTTGTGTATCATGAAGCATTAGAATAGTAAAACTGTGTTTTTGGAATAATAATTTATTTTTTTTATTATACCAATTATAATTCAATTTTTATAGTTAAGATAGAACAACGTCTGTCGGGTCAGTCAGTATTATTATCCACCACCAGGTGGGTATTTATATCGTTTTTTGAGAGTATTTGCTTTATAGTTTTTACTAGTGGATTTACCTACATATTTATTATCTCATACTTAAAATACAATTAAGATAAATATACAAAAGTCATGTCTTACAATAGCAATAAAAGTAAACTTGACTCACATAGAATTGTTGGTATGATGTACCGTACATCATGTACGTCTTATGTTGTAAAATGAAGGTACAAGATGTGCATTCTTGACTATATATTTTTTCAAAATGTTTTCTCTATTAGTGGCTTTCTTTGAATAAAAAGCAGAATTAATGTGATATGTGATTTAAATATAGTATAGTTAGAATTTGCTTTATTATTTCCTTTAAAATACAAATTAGTTGAGAACCAATTATCAATGAAACAAGTAATAACGATAATATATATATATTATTATACTATTATAAAAAAAATAACAATAGAATGTTAATTTTTACATGGTACAATGTTGTCGTTTGTAAAAATTACAATACGATGATAAAGAACGAACAATAATTAAACTGTGATAATAAGAAACCACAAATGTTGATAACTTTCATCAAAATGTCAAAAATAAAAATAAAGCAAGACAGTGATCATGTTCGACGACTTCCATAATATCCCATAATTAAAATAACTGAATAACGCATTTTAATATTGTCGAAACGATTATAATGTGTATAAATCATCATAAACCGATAAACCTATTATATATTATGCACAACTAAATGAATAATAGGAAAATACATATATAATAACACTAATTATTAACTAGATAATATATAATTTGTCATTCAATTTTTATATGTATTAAAATATTTTGAAAAAAAATCTGCTCCAAAATGAACAAAATATGATATTAAAACTGCACGTGTAGTTCAAAAATGTTGTAATTAACTAAAAAATTGTATTTATATATTAAAAAAAAAAATAATTAATATTTTCAACATTTTTTAAGTTTTTTGAAATAATGAGCATACCTAAACATTTAAATCAAGTTTAATAGATCACCATGTAAATTAAAGGGACCAATAAACCACATTACATAGGAACCTTATTTAATTTCATCGCATATAAAAATATGTTTATAATTATATACTCATTAGCCAAACTACTTTAACTCCTTATGGCTTATACGGTTTACACAAATGATGATTCACCATAATATGTACATTCCAATTATTAAATATTGGTTATCCTTTTAAATAGTTGATTTAATCAAATCTTGGAATCATATCTAATTATTTATAGATAGTATTTTTATTAAGACTATATTTTCAAATAGGTATATGCTTAAAATTATTATAACGTTCAGTTTGTGATAAATACAGTGAAACCTCTATAAAGTGGACAACCATGGGGAATTAAAAAATGTCCACTATAGGGAGACGTTATAGACTGTAGAGAATTTGTTATACATATCTATACACACACACCCACACATACATACATATATATATATATTGAAATTGGTACATATAAAAATTATTATTTATTATTTATTTTATATATGTATAATATTATGTATGTAGTAAAACGTGGGTAAAAAAATGTTTATAAAAATTTTAACGTAGGCATATTAAATATCTATATTATTTATAATGCCTAAATGCCCTAAATAATTATTAAAATATATAATGTATTAGTATTATGTATACAAACTTTTAGTCAGTATTAGGTCAGGCCATGGCCTAACTGGCCTGACCCGTAGTTTCGCCATTTTGTTGTATTATATACAACAAAAGTTCATTTAAATATGCATTAATACTAATGTTTAAAAAATATGTAGATATAATATTATTATTATTATAAAATTAGTTTAAATCATTTAATATCCTATTGTTAACATTATAACTACTAAATAACTTATTTTAAATATCAATAAAGTCATTATCAAGAATCATAAGTTAGGTATCTAAAATAAAATTGTCAGTCTAATAAACAATAAAAATTAAGATAAGAAAAAAATCATTAAATTTTCTATTGATATTCATATGTGTTGTAATTGCAGCAATGAAACGACTTCAATAAACTTATCTCCATCTGATTTATTCATAAATACATCTTTTGAAGTAGACCTATATATCTGAACGAATACTATTTAGCCAATGGTTTGAAAACGCAAAATAACTTTCGATTAGTTACGGTTAACTCATTATTTATGGAAACTAATTTATCTGGGAGCGAACAATGGATTTCATTAGCTTTTAAAAGATTATTACTATTAGCTAAAGATTTTTAATTTTTAATAAAATCGCATCTTTGATTATTTTATTTTTAAAACGAACGACTAGTTTTCTATTATCATGTTTTGGATTCATTTGGAAGACATTAGTATAATATCGTCCACCGGATAATTGAAATTTAAAATAGATTATACTACCTACTTGTATAATATCAGCTTGATTTTCATCTTTTGTCATAGGAATCCCAATTATCGTAAAATTATTACCCAAAATTTTTTGTTCAATTTGATTATTTTCAAATTTTAACACATCTACATGTTTCTCAAGGTTAACAAACTTTATTTCCATTTGTGAAAACTTTTTTTTAATAATTTTAACAAATTCTGATATAATATTTAATTTGTTTGCTGAAGCTATCGATTTTATTTGAACTAAAAGACACAGCATTCTCTATTGCACCTATTTTAGAAAGTAATTTGGATAGATCATCTCTAATCGATAATATATTTATATCTTTGTTACTAGAAGAGTTACGTTAGGTTCTTTTTATTTTTACTAATAAGAATGTACGACTCACATATTCAGGAGTGCTTCTTAGATTGCGTCGTGAAATTTCCAGCACATTTCGTATGATATTATCTATTACAACGTATACACACAATTTTATTTTTATTAGAAGACAGAGAATATAAACTAAACTTATCGCATATCCTAGACATAATAAAGACGATAACTTAATATTTGGTACAAATAACAAACAACTATATTATCTACTATGAGAGTCAGATCGAAACCGTGGCGAAGTATTAAGCAAAAACGTGTTTGCCGATTAATCGACGACCAATTATTATTGTTTCTTTAATTACAATTATTTTAACTTTATACTAAGATATTAAGAATACATAATTATTTTTATCTGAACAATGGAAAAAAAAACGTGTAACGAGATTGCGACGAATTAAGCCAAAGATCTTGCAAACGGTAAAATACCAACGTGATGTAATATCGTTTTAAATTCGAAAGAGATCGCTGGCTATAGTAACAAAAATTAAATAACTATGAAAACAACAACCAACAAAAATTTTACGAATGAGAACGGATACAACGTGATTTTTTTCAGCGTTAATTATAGCTCTATTTCAGGTTACATTTCGAAACTTTCACTAGGTACGCTGAAAAAAAATAAAAATGAAGAATTTGAGAAATTTTTTGAACGCATTTGTGCAGGGTTGTTGCACGAGGCGCACTCGCGTAAACAGAACAAATTCGAAAAAGAACAGAAATCTACTGAGGATCGAGGATCGATGAAATTTGTTGAGGCGAGTAAATACGCAGATAAACCGAGTCAAACGGATGTGAATCCCAGCGTTGCCGTCTGCGTCACAGATAAATTGTGTCGAACGGATGTGAATCCCAGACCCCAGTCGTCGAGTGTTGAGACGTTTTCAAGTCGGAGAACATATAGTATCCTCTTTTACCAATTTTCCATCGTCAGCTGCCTATAAAATTATAGTTACGCCCCGAAGGCCCACTACGGAATGACACGAGTAGTTCTGCAACTCTGTTCGTTTATACCGGTCCGGTCAAAGCCGTTTTTGATGCGCACATTCAACGCCGTCCCAAATCGAGCAAACGTCTCAGACGTTGTGGACGGCGGTAATAATATGTGCCCGACCAAAAGCCGGTGGTCGTTGAACGGCTTTGGGCGGTTGGTGGACGGCTGCGGACGGTGACTGGAGGTCAGCGGCGGCGTGGCCGGTCGGGGACAGTCCGCGGATGGCGGCCGTTGTGCGTGATGCTGCACGGTGGACGCGACCACTGCGAAACGTCCCGTGCGCATCTAAACGGACCACTGACGACTATACACGCCGTTCGGTGGTCGCCGTCACCAAAAACTGGCCGGGCGCACACACCGAACGGTATGAATAATTGATCGGACGACCACGAGTTGGCCGTCCCCGATGTCGCCACTCGCACCCGCAGCTTCGAAAAGTTCAAGACAATGCGCAGCGCACAACTGAAGACCGAACACATAACGGCGAACCATATTTGTCATGATATTTCGAATGAGAAAACCTTTCGAGATAAGATAAAATATGACCGAAATGTCTAAAAGATGAATACTTATAGTATTTTTAATACTTGCACATTTTCGATGTGTACAGCACGTATTTTGTCCATTTATGATGGGTAATTTTTAATTTTGGTACCGGTTTTTAGTGTTCGCTATTAGAAAGGGTCCACTGTTGAGAGTTGAGAGGTGTCCATTAACGGAAGTTTCACTGTATAGATATTTTGAAATTTTAATAAATCCACATTTCAGTTAAATGGGTCATGGGATACAGTAATATAGAGATGTGTACAGTGTACGTCTGATGAATTACCCTGCAGTATAGGCTGTATATAACGCTTGAAAATACGCACACTCAAGTATAAGTATGTATTAGTTTATGATAGAAACAAATATTATAAAACATATACAACACACACAAATTCATGTATCATACGTTCGCGGCCAGAGTTTATCTCCTCGATTAAGTCAGTCTATTGAGATGAGTAATTCAGTGCGCGATATGTAATTATGAGTTACGAAAATACGTATGTATATATTATTATTTTATATTATATTTACGTAAGTAGTTATTTGCACAGGACTGTTGACGCCCTGCTATTTTTGTATTGTGTAAATTTTCATAGTAGTTTGTATTCTGTGATCAAATATTCGTTTTTATGATTTTATAGAGTGGGTAGGCTTTAGGCACACCACAGTATACATAAATAGCTAGTTTTATAATATACATATTATATTTAAAAATGATAAAAAGAATGATTAGTTAGAGCTCATATTCTTATAGGTACTGTAATTATAAACTCATTTATCGTTCGAGCTTTTTACGGTTTTCAAGGAAAAAATAATTATTTTTTATATTATTATTTTTTAAATTTAAACTATACCAGAAACAGTTTTGATTTTGCAACAGAATTCTTATCTTAAAAGTGACAATATATAAATAAATTATAGTTGCGTATTTCGGATAATTTTCCGGAGGTATCGAAAATATCACTTAATGACCAAGTCAAATTCGAATAATTCCTAAATATTCCAT